CGGATTTCTCAGGGCAATGCGCCACTGGTTGTGGTACTTCGGAAAAAGGACGCACACAACCGTTCGGGGTCGGCTGTAAGATCCACGACCGTTCGTATTTGTATGGAAACTGCAGGAGCACATGCACGTATACGAGCAAAGGAGCTGGCTGTGCCTGTAGAGTCCTCAGAGGAGACAGAGCCTTCTGGCATAAGTCACGAAAGGAACTGCACGCAGACACACAGCGCGTCATGCTCATGCGTGTATAGGTGGTTTTCTCTGTGCGCAGCAGACGATCCATGAGCATGATAATCACATCTTCTGGTTAGCGTCATTTTCTCCCCTTGTGGTTCCCCTCGTCGCCTAAACTACTGATCTCATATGGCAGTTGATGTAGACGGGTCTCAGCGTGAGTCCTCCTCCCCATGAAGTGGGTGTAGAATGCCTCTTTGTATTCAGCCGTTAAGCGCAAGCCTGAGGATGAAGAATGCGACGAATGACAGGAGCCCGATGAGAAGATCTTGCTGTCCACCTCGGATAAGCCTCTGGAAGAGCACAGAGTAGGTCGAAATGAAATCTCTATTCTCACCAATTTTTATTAGGAATCCGGCGGTGGTGCTGTGAAGTCTTTCATTGCCTCGTTCTTGGTCATGCTAGTCTCGATTCCGGCCCTTGTAAGTCAGTCATCTCTATCTGTCACACTCGATTGAAACGGTCCTCAATAACGAGCAATATACATGACTGAATCATCACGTCTTCCTGCTCTAAGGCTCCAACCGACGTCTTCAGCGCGTTCCCCCATCCTCGCGGTCTTCGTCCCAGCTCCTCCCAGTGTTTATGTCGTTTGCTCAGGTCGGATCCTGATGCTGGCCTGTGTTGGTTCTGGGTATCTTGGGCGTGGCGAGCTCCAGCGCCCTCAACGGTTTCGCACACTCTATCACATTCGGCTTTACTCTTGCTGTCTTTACTAACTTATGTCAATTTGTGAGTCACTTCACCACTCCTCCCGATCAGCGGTCTATGCTTAGGTCTTCGTCGGTACTAGAAGAAAAAGAAAAGATGTGAAGCCCCACCTCAGGAAGTGGGGTCCGTTCTACATGATCCTCGTGGCCACAGTCGCTGTCATGATGGATTTGCTTCGACACGTATTGATGGATGCTGAGAGCTGGAAACTCCAGGATCGTAAGCCTCGCCAGTTGCTCATCATGTTGATCATCGCTGTTCCCCCCAGATATCACTGGAAAAGAGTACAAGTTCCACTTCGGCAGCTGCGTGTACAACGTCCCCACTGTCGCACAAGGGCAGGAGGGGGAATGCCCCGATGCTGGTGTAGGGCCTGTTGAGGTCACCACTTCGAATGCTCTGGGCGTATACATGCCGATGTGAGTCGTTTCTACCGTTTCTTTCATTCTAAGTCTTCTTGCACAGGTACAACGCGGACGGCTCACACTCCTTCTACGGCATTTTCTTTACCTTCGTGTTGACGTACTTGGGCTATTTCCTCCTTTTTTTCTCGATATGTTGGTTCACGGGTTTACCAAGGAAATTAGCCAAGCAATGTCGTAGCCTAGACTGGAAGGGGTGCTGGGCTGGTTGTTGCGCGATGTGCACATCTAAGCGCAGGAAGGTTCCCCAGGGTTCAGATACAGTTTAACATGGACTTCGTGCGTGTTCACTTTTTGGTCGGATTAATAGTCATTTCAGTCAATTGTCGTCGTCGATTTTGAGAAGCCGAATGTGTGCATACTCGAGCTCAACGAATGACGCTACTTTGAAAAAGTTCGATCAAAGTAGCTGATAGTTGTGCTTTGCAGAGTTATGTTTTCTACTCATAACAGGCAACCTGTTTATGATATCTTTGATGT